AAATAAATGCCATCCTGTTATATCACAGTTTCTTGTTCAAAATATTTCTGGCAAACTTGCAAAATACCCTAAACATTTACTTCAGCGATAAAAAATGACACAATGACAACATCAAATTTTTAATATTTTTCAACCTCAAATGCTTTATTTTATTGAGAATGGGCGTAAACAAGACCCTTTAATAAAAGCTTTGACATCCTTTCCTTTTAACAAATGACACCAAAGCAACCAAATGGTAAGGGCTGTTTTGATCATTAAATCAGTGTTTATGAATCGTAAAAGCTTACCGCAAATTTTCAGATTACTTTTTATAGAGAAAATCCTAAATTAGCATTCAAGCTGATTTGCTGTTACGTCTGCTGAGACTTCAATCAATCATTACCAAATAAATGGTTTCCGCATCAGACAGACAAGAATCAACCTCCAGAAACATTTCTAATACAGTGATATATAGAAAGCTATAAAAGTTCATCCATACAACATAAATGCAATATACACTGCATAGTATCGGAAAAATAGAATTAATACAGCAACAAATTTAATATCCAGTTTACTGCGTGGGCAAGTAAGTAGAAATTGCAATCTGACCTGTGAAAGAATCAAATTTTAGAAATTTATCTTCTAAATTAATTGTATTAATTAATTTCTAGTGCTGCACTATGTCTCTATAATTCTAACAATCCTTAATTCCCAAGTCACCTTACTTGTATCCATTTAAATAGTTGAGATAGTACGAAGAAAATGTTCACTTAGGATACGTCAAAATGACAGTGGAAAGTTTTACTGTTTGGAAGTGAAAAAAAAACCTGTCTGGTCTAGTAGATTATTAGTTATAAAGATCGTTGACAGGTTATATGGCCCTATATAAATGGCTATTTGTAAATATATGATTATATTGCAAACAGCCATTTATATATGGCCATATAACCTGTCAACAATCTTTATAACGAATTTATAATACAGCAAGCATCATTTTTAGAGAAAAAAAGTAAGATTTCTTCATGAATCGACAGCAGCTGTGTATATAAAACTATATAAACGTCATGATTATCCAATGAAAAATGACGTTACAAACGTGCAGTATTATAAAATGTCAATGACTTCCCTGAAATACTTGTGGTTTTCTACTCCTATTATTATTTCTCTGCATTTTGTTTATTTTTTCTTCCATATCCTTATGCTGGCATTTAACTTCTCTACATATACAAACAAATACTTGCAAAATCCTGTCAAACACCTTTTTAACCACAATGTAACAAATAATTTTTTAACTTCTCGGACATACTACCACATTGATTGTATCTTAAATTTCATAACAAATAACTATTAAAAGGCAATTAATTTACTGGAAATATACAATAAGTTTTAATCCTTGCAGAATTTGTGTAATGCATTGTTTTAACTTTTTCTTTAACGTTTAATTGCATGCTATTAAGTTTTAGCTATTCTTAAATTGTGTCTGATGCTACAAAAATTCATAAATAAGTTTAAAGTTTAAACAATTCTATTTCAACTTGATCATCACCCACTCACTAGTCTGTTTCTGATGTGTGAGGAAGCATGGCAATCTTGCATGACCCTAGCATGTTCCATGGGTTGGTAGGCAGACACCTTAACCACTAACCAACCTCTTCCATAATTTTATTCCATCATAGCACTTTAATTGCAAGTGTATGCTTAAATTATTTTTTGAATTGTGTCTTTCTAGAAAAAGTCAATAACTATTGTACATGATTTTCTTATTCTATAAGTCTTTTTTTTAAATAAAACCTTGACTTTAAGACCTATGAGAATAATGAAGGTGATTCTAGTAAGTCTGGAAATAACATTTAATCAAATTATAATGTCAAATTGTCAATATATCAAACTTTATTCCAGGAAGAAGTCCCAATATGACATGAAATTTCAAAAAAAGGAGAAAAAAATAAAACTATTTAAAAAAAGCCTATAAAACTATATTTTTCAGGTCATCGAATCATACCAGAAAAATATGTCTTTCTTAATGGTTTTTATACATGTGCAATTTGTAAAAACAGTTCCGCCATTTACTATTGTATCACCTGGTACAGTACCAATAGGTTTAATAGCTAGTTTCTCAATCATCAATGTAACAACAAGAGCAATCAATGACCACATGTGTTGCCTGATGCTAGCCAATTGGATATTGCAGCTACTGAGTAGCAGGAGAACAGGCTTAAACGTTTTCTTTATTTAAGGATCATAACCCAGCCAATATTCATTCAAGCAGAAAACCTGTGTATTATGCCCAAGTTCTTGAGCTGCCAATCAATCTTGTTAAGTTTTACTGTTTTGCATTAATTAGTGGTATAAGACGAATAGTCCAGACAAACTTTAACCATTTAACCATTGAAGGGCCATAACTCTGACAAAAATTACTGGACTAGAAAAAATGCAAAGAAATGCACTACTAGACTTGGCGTTGATTATCATCTTTAAGTTTGCATGAAAATGCACCAGTAGTGTTTGAGGAGTAGTCCAGACAAGTTTTGTAACGGAGAGACTTTCTGTTTGTTTTGTTTGATTGGGTTTTACGTCACATCGACACAGTATAGGTCATATGGCGACGTTTCAGCTTTACTGGTGGAGGAAGACCTCAGGTGCCCTTCCGTGCATTATTCCAGGCACAAACGGGCACCTGAGTAGAACCACCGACGTTCCGTAAGCTAGCTGGATAGCTTCCTCACATGAAAGAATCCAAAGTCTCTGTCGAGATTCAAACCCACAGCGGTGAGAGGCAAGTGGTTTGAAGTCAATGACCTTAACCACTTGGCCACGGACGCCCCCTGAGAGACTTTCTAACAAGACAGTTCTTATGTGACTATTCTATTATTCTTTTTAGCCACATAAAAGCCTTTAATACCAAATGAAAGAGATCAAAGAGGAAGCACAGTTAACCAATTGTTCTTATAGCCACTATGTATTATCCCAATGTAAGCATGGATAGACGAATGGAGAGACAACAGAAAAAGTGATAAATCAGTTAATACTACTGCTACACACCACAAAATGGTTGCCAATGCTATTTATATCTTTTAAATGAATAGAGATTGCAATCATACCACAGCATCAGCAGTTAAGAATAATTAATATTGATTTAACAAAAGAGAAAACTTGAGACCAAACCACAACATAATCTGTAAAATGAGAAAAACCAACCTACCCTACCTATCCTTGTCTGTATTTTACCCTAACAACACTATTGACCTTTTTTTTTTTAGATCTAACTGCCTTGTAAAACCCTTTTTCAGCCAAAAAAGAATACTTATTGGCAAACTAAGAAAAGAAAATAACTGCATTAAATTATTCAAAACAGAAACTAAGAAGTGGATTTTCCCAGAATTTTCAGTCACCTAATTTAACAATTTCATTTCTTTCACAATTATTATGATGTATAATCAAAACCATTCTAAAATTGTAGTAAATTTCTAAAAAAAGAAAGAAAGATAGAAAAATTTGCTGTGTTACTGTTAAAATGTAAAGCGTAAACACATGTACATTTTAGAAAGAAAGATAGAAAATAAGTACTACTTAAAATCAAAGTTGTAATCTTTGACTTTGTAATCTTAGCAACCAGCTATCAAAAAAAATATAGGTACTGTAAGTACTGTAAAATCAGAGAAATTTGCAAGTTATTGTTTCTGTGAATATAATTATAGATCTAATTTAATGTTCAAGATTTGTTTTTAAACCTAAAATTTCAGTGGGTTTAAATTGAATTTTGTGAAAGTAAACAAGTACAATTATCTTAAAAAAATATCAATCAATGTAAAGAAAAGACTTTTTGTTAATGATCCTTTTGTAAATCCTAAAAAGTTTGGCATTTACTGTAAACTATGACATATGACAATACAAATATATAGACACTCAAGACTTTGAGTTGAATTTTGTCTTTTTATCAACTAAACTGAGATATTTTCACTATTGATTAATTCTGAATTTTCTACCAAAACAGCATAACTATGTTAACCTGATAACTTACCATTATTTTGACAAGAAAATAAACATTTGAGTTTAATTAGTGCTATCATATTCTAAAATACATACATGCAGTCTGATTTTAAGTCACAATGATTTTCCTAAAAGTGCAGCATTTAAAATCATAATTTGTAACCAGAACTATCTTTGACTTATCAATTTCACTAGCTAAAATCATTCACTGACTCAGCCTTGCTGTCATATGCAGGTGGAATTCCCAGTAGTTTCTCTACAGAATCATAAATAATTACTGATAAAACAACCTTCTCCAAAAACGTTCTGCAATATTTCTTATAACATAAATGCGTCTATATCGATGCGAACCATAAAGAATTCACTATTTACCTTTCCTCTTTGGAATTTTGGTAATTCGTCTAAAGGAAGTAAACTCCTTTATAATTATTCAGCAGTGAATTTCCACTAAATTATCATTTGTCAAAAATTATGTAAACAATATCTTCAAAGTTTAAAAAGGGTGAAATAAATAAATTATGGTCTTCAATCTATTTCCAACACTTAAATTGTATCATTTTTTATTACATACGATACATAAAGTAAGATTTAAATAATAGTAAACAGAGTCATGTAGAAGAAAATATATTTGGCTATTCCTTTTGCCTCCCTTCAATATTAAAAATAATCATTATCTGTCCAGTAAATCGTGCAATGGTCAATTTTTTGTAAAATAATGATTTAGATTCAAAGATTATTTAAATATATTTTGTTTACTCCTTTCGTTCTGTCAATTCTATTGTGACAGAGGGGAAAATTTAAAGTATTTACCATATGGGGCACCTGCAAGTTACTTTAATTGATAAACGAAAGGAGTGAAAGCAATTTCCGATATTTATGAATTGTTTGTCTAGAATTAAATAAATTACACTGTTTTAGCATGATTATGTATTAAATCATCCTGAAATATTTAATCTTTTATACAGTTTGGAATTTATATGACTTTAATGTCTATTGTTTAGTTGTTGTTAATTACGGAAATTACTTTACGTTCTTCCATACAGCTTTCCTTAATTGTAAATTGAACGGATATTCGGTCGCCATTTTACACTAAACAAGCTCTTTAGCTGGGATTTTGCGAATTATCTCTGCCTCCGTAATGGAGGAAATTAAAGAGACTAAAATAATTTATCATATTGACGATGAAGATACTCCTTATTTGATTAAACTAAATGTCCCTGCTGACCGGGTTACCCTGGGTGACTTCAAAAATGCCCTCAATCGCCCGAATTACAAGTTTTTCTTCAAGTCTATGGATGACGACTTTGGGTAAGGCATTACTTTTGCATGTGCTTCTTATGTTATCAGAAGAATTAACCATTTTGCCATCCTCCCTTCAGAGTGTGTTATTTTAACTAGGAGCATGTTGTTTCTGGTGAAGAACCAAGTAAATGATTTTGAGATGTTAATTTTTTGACAGGTATGAGTCACCTACTTTGTATAATATAGGTCTTGTTAATATGGGTTCATCCATGATATAAATATTTCTTGTCAATTGATTCTAGTTACTTTATTTTTCAGAATCACAAATTAATATTGCATGCATTTATTGACACTTGTGATAACTAGATTACAGAAGTTATGATTAATCATTTAATTGATACAAGTGCAATGAAACATGTTAATATTATATACCAAAATACATTGCAATGTTGGTAATTTGATGTTATTTACAAACTTTGTTTATGATTACAAGACAATACACTTCATCCTTTAAACAGTATTCTGTTAGGGGTTTAAAGCTAGTCATCATTGTGAAGTGTTACTAGTATAAATTTATGACATTTTACAACATTGCAATAGCTTACTTATAAATCATCAATTTCAAAACATAAGGTTGTTAACGAGGAAGATAAAGAAAAGTGATAATTACATACAATTTTTATTTGATATCATACATGTTCCACAATACATTTAATGATTTATTTACAAAGTAATTTTTAAGTGTAACTGTTTACATTTTGCAGGGTTGTGAAAGAAGAAATTATAGATGAAGAACAGAGGTTGCCATGTTTCAATGGCAGAGTTGTTTCATGGGTAAGTTTGTGATGTGCTATTTTTGTGAACATAATGATGAAAGAAATTATTTGTTACGGAATGTAGTCTAGCTCGACATTTTAATATATATATAATATATAAGAAGAAGTGATGTTAGGTTACTGTAAATTATGCAATATATGATATAAAATATGAAATGAATCTATTTACTATATATATATATTTAATTTTCTGTGATGCCCCAACTGGGTTACCCTGTCAATTTTATATTATGTTAATTATTTTCATTTTGTTTGTATATTAACAGTTGGTTGCTGCAGAGAGTAGTAATGCGTCTGATACCCAATCACAGTGTACAGACTCGCAGGCTGGTGATATCCATATGCCAACAGAGAGGGTAGGCGGTATTGGTGATAGTAGGCCACCTTCTTTCCAGTAAGTTGTTTTGTAACATATAATACACAATGTATCAATAAGCTGAACTAGTGATATGATGCAGACCCCTTTACAAGGTTGATGATTATCATTGATAGAATATGTATCGATCTGCAGGGGGGGGGGACTAGAATGAATTGGACAGTTTCGATATACATGTATCATTAAAAAAACTTAAATGTTAATAGATAAAGGATATTGAATGAGTGTAGATTTATTACTAAATTCATTGAACAAGTTGGATAAAATGGTTTTATGGGCGCTTTTTGCTAGCATAGTATTGTTTTATTCAACAAGTTCAATAAAAATTCAAAAATAAAGTCAAATATGATATTGTTTTTATTACATGTCCAAAAGAAGAACTGTTTGTAGTTAAAAAAAGAGTCACTTGTGCCATAGTTTAACATTAACATAAGCCTTCTTTAATGCTATGTTTGTATATAACACAAATGATGTCATATCAAATTCTTATTTAATATTACATTGGTTGACTTTTGTTTTTATTAAAATGCTTTATAGTTTATTTAACCCCTGTAAATAAATATTTGAACTAGGACAATATGTTTGACACAAATTCAGAGCAACAGATAAGGCGCGTATTTGCGTATTTACGCAATTAATTTTATAAAATACGCAATTGATTTTTTAAGAATGCGTATCAGAACCCATTAAAAAAAATAAAATACGCAATTGTCTTAAAAACCCGTGCGTATTGTCATTTTAATCACCGCAAAATTAATCTGCCGTAAACTCGTAGTTTTGGACAAATTCAGGGCTCATCCTGGGGAGAAATTTTAGGGAGAAGTGACTTCCTTGCGAAAAATAGGGAGGAGGGAAACAACCCAATGTGTATGCATGAACATGCATGGCTATATACATCCTTTAACTATAATATAAACACAATTAATATATTTATCAGCTATTTATAAGCTTTCTCTAAATATTTGTTTATATATTTTCATATACATTTATTGATAATAATGTGTAAGAAAAAATACGACGAATAAATTAATTCTTATATTGTAACTTTCACTTTTAATAGAAGATAAATTTACATTGAATATTGATAAATAAAAGCTCCCCTTTTTTCTTTTCGGGAGTACAGTTTTTTATGGCCCTTGTGTAATTTTTGGGTTTTTGGTTTCCCCTGGGGCCACCGGAATAAACCCTTTGTGGGCGAGCTTGTGTGTTTTGTGGGTGTGTGTATTTGCTTTTATTTATATCGCCCCCGGGGGGTTGCCCATTTTGGGAAGTCCCCCAGAAGAGTTTTAGAAATTTTTAATTTTTGGGGGAAGTTGAAATTACAGATACAAAAAGATGCCCCAATTTTCCCAGAATTTTCCGGGTTTTTTTTACTTTTCCAAAATTTTTTAAAAGCACCCATACAGGGGGACCTCGTTTAAAAGCCCTCATCCGAAAGCCCGGTTGTTTTGTGTGGCCCGGGAAGAACGGGGCGGGCTGTCTGTTGTAATGTCTATTTTAAAGCATTAATTTGTTTTAAAAAAATTTAAAACCCAATTGAAAAAATTAAAAAATAAAATGTTATTGAAAAAATTTGTCCCCCATTAATTTTCATAAAATTTAAAAACTTTTCATTTTCTTTTTGGGGAAAAACTTTGATGAAAAATTATAGAAAAAAAATTTTTTAATTACCCCCCTTTTTTTCATGAAATGTTAAACTGGGTAATTTTTCTTTTTTTAAATAATGCTTTTTGAAATTTACAATTTGATAAATTTTAAATCTGGGGCGTAAATTTTTATGAAAATTAAAAAAAAATTATATATTGAAACAAAAAGAACACTTTTTTTTCCCTGACAAGTTTTGTTTTTATACATGTAACCATGATATACGACCGATTATGTGGGCATGCCAAATGGATTTGAAATTTTTTCCCCCCAAAATGCGTAAGTTTGTTGTAAAAATTTTGCATTTTTTTAAAAAGAAAACCCAAGCCAAACACTTCACTGCCCCTAAAACATAAAAATCGTAAGTTTTTTTGGAGAAATTGGCTTTTTTTAAAATTTTTTTCGCTTTGGGTGTACAGAATCAGCACGGATTTATGAAATTTAAAACCCTTTGGAATCATTTAATTTTTTCTTTTACTGCTAAGTTTGGGTTTTTCGCCCTTTGTGGCCATGACGTAAGCGACATAAAAATTTTTTTAATTTTGTTTGTTAACGGACCGAAATCTTTCCCCAAACTATGATTTTTTTTTTTAAATTCCGGTCGTGGATAATTAAGGGGGAAATTTTGGGTTTAATTTTTGAATTTGACTAACTTTTGTGATAGCCTTTAAAAAAACCCCATTGCACATCCCCCTTTTAAACCCCGGGTTAAAACACCGCGGGGATTTTCAATTCTTTGTTTAGATGATCGGGGGAAAAAAAATTTTAAAATTTAATTATGGGGGCCAAACCCCGTTTTAAAAACCCGAAAAACTGTGGGCACAATTATCCCCGTTTCGGGCCGATGCGCTATTTTTTTACTGTTTAGAGTAGGGGGTTTCTTTTTTCGTTTTTTGGCAAAAGGTTTTAAAGGGGTTAGTTCTAAAAGCGACGCCCCGAGGGGGGAAAAATGAAAATTTTAGCAGTCTTTCTTTGGGGGCGGTTTTCCCAATCTCTGCCTTTACATCGAAAAGTTAATTTTACTTTTTTGGGGAATTAAGTTTTTATCGGCGTTTGTTGACTTCTCTTTAAATAAATTGGGGAGAGCAAAAATGGAAATTTTACACGGCGAAGTTTTGCCTAATCCCCCTTCCGGATGAGCCCTGAAATTATATCCATTTTCCATGATACCCCGAATATCCCCGAATCAATGCAAACAAAATAAAGGGGGTGCCCGGGGTTTTCTGTCAAACGGCCCCCAGTTCCCAAAAACAAGACAAAGCCATATCAAAAAACCCCATGGGGCCCCTTTGGGATGTGTCTACTCGGGTTTAAAGGTCTTTACAGACCGGCAGAAAAGTTGTTTTTTGCTGAAAAACCCAAAAAAGTAGACCCACTCTATCAATGGCGTTTTAAAAAGCAATATGGGCGTCTTTACAAAAGAGGAAAATGTTTTGAAACAAAACGTCGTAAAAACCCAAAAATCAGTCAGAAACGAACTTTTTTAAAAAAATATTATGAAATTTTTAACATGAGCATTTTTATTTTTAAAAAAAAACCAATTGTGAAATTGAAAGTAAATTGTTAATCTTTTTTTGTTTTAAAACATTTTTAATTTTTATTAAAAACCATAAAATTCATATCTTCAAAATTTGGGAATCCCAAATTGATCTTGAAATCTTTAGGGTTTTGATTTTGGGAATCCCCAATTTAAAAATGGGCCAATCCCCAAATTCCCCAAAGGGAAAAATGAGGGGGAAAGTAGTCCCCAAATTTTCATTTTTTTAAAGGGCTTATCTTTGCTCTGCAAATTTACCCATGGTTTTCACTGAAATTTCCCACCAATAATATTGTGGTGGTTGACACTAAAATTAACTTCGGATTGGGAAAAAAAAATTTGTCGAATGGCCTTATTTTAAAACTGTAGCCCTAAAAATAAGGGGTCATAAATAAAAATTAATCCTTTTACAGTAACATTCCAAAAAAATTTAAAACCAACACTTTAAAACCTTCAAAGGGAAATTTTTATTGATTTTTTTTCTAAAAAAATTTTAAAAAACATAAATTCAAATATGTGTTTTTAAAACCTTTAATCACAAGTGATTTTCACTTTTAATTGAAGCACAATTATATTGAACAGGGGAAATGTTAAAAAATTTTATTTTTTTCCAAATTTATTTCAGCTCTTTTAATTTTTAGGAAGGAGTTTTCAAATTGTGTTTGACAATTTTTTAAAGTTGTTTTAGATTTTAAAAAACCTGAATAAGAAAATTTTTTTAAATTTTTTTTTAAAATTGATAAATAAATTGTGTTGCATTATATCTTTTTTCAGGGGCAAACCCATGTTAGGTAGTAGAGATGTTTCACTGCGACCATGTACAAAAACAGACTCTGTCATCACCCTCGAGAAGAGGTAAGTTATCCCATTTTTCCAACATTTTAAATTTGCGTATGAGTGTGTATGTGTCCAGGGTTTTCTGTTAATGGAAGTTTTGGGGGTCTTTTAACTCTTATTTGGCTTGTAAATTTTCAAAAGTAATGTTTTTTCCTTCTTTTATACTATATAATATGATTTTTCCAATGTTTAAAACTTAAGGGAAAGCCCTGTTTTTGTTTTTTAAGTTATTTTATTTTTTAGGGTTTTGCTCAGTTTTTGTTCAAAAAAATATGACTTATTTATTTTTTTGTTTTGCCAGTAAATTTAGATTATTATGTGTTACTTTTTTTATATACAGAAAAATTTTTTGAAAATGAAAATCCTAGTATTTTTGGTAATTTTCAGAAGATACATATGGGAAAAGAAGCTTTGGAAAACTAATTAGTTCTGTTTTTTGCATTGTTTTTTTTTGCTAAAATTGTTTGACCCCTTAAATGGAGACCTTCTGAATTTTGGGATCATGGTTTGCTCTGTTTTGTTTAATTAAAAAAGGTATATTTTTAAATTTTTTTCCTATAAAAAAGCAATGGTTTCCACCGGGTTTCAAAGATAATCAAGCCCATTTAAGATTTTTTTTTGGTGTTAAGGGTTTTATATGAAAATTTTAATTTTAAAGTTTTGGCAGATTAGATTTTTAAATGACATCAGAGGGGACCTGAAGCTTTTTAAAAAATGGAACTTTTTTAATTCTAAATTTCTTTTTTTTTTTGTAAAAAGTCTGACTGCTCCCAACCTTTTTGTGGGGTCTTTTTAAACCTAAGATAATAACCCAAAAAGAAATTTAGTAAAAAAAAATTTTAATTTTGGCAAAGCTCCCATTTTGGCTAAAAATACTTTTGGGGGAAAACCCGAAAAAATGAAACAAACAAAAAAGCAACAGGAAATCTTTTTTTATTTTTGTAAATGACTTTTTTTGGATTACAAGGTCAAGGCCATTGCCTTGTAACATTAAAATATG